CCACCCCCCAACAGCACTCCCTCCCCCAGCCACATTAGAAGCCATACAGGAGACACTGAGCTCCAGGAGCACAAAACCTAACTACAGCACATTCTGGTCCAGGGGTTTCAGGATCAGGACCCTGGGGAGGTTTAAGTGATTAGAGTTTCCTGGGTATAAAACTGCAGGCTTGAGAGCAGAGGTGGAAAGACCCTGAAAAGGCCAGGCAGAGGGTCAGGACCCAGTGGCCAGGCGGCAAGTACAAACACTTTGATAGTTTGAAATTCCAAACTCCCGGCTGGGAGATTCCGAGCTCTCCCACTTCACTCAGGTTCCCTCCATCCCAGCCCCCTCCACTGGGATCTAAACCCACTCTCCCTCCACCATCCAAATGCAAAGAGCATAGCCGGCCGCTCTCTTTTCTCTCATTTTCTGTGGGTGAGGGCGGGTCACAGAAACCTGCCTTTCCCATTGCAATAGCACGCAGCAGAAAGGAGGCCGACCAAGCGTCACTGTTGACCGTGAACTTGCACAGAGAGGCAAAGGAGTGGAGGGCGCGCCATGGAGACCCCGACCGTGGAGTCCTTTCCCCGCCCTTCAATCCGAGCCACGATGCCGGCTCTCCCCTCTCCCAGTCCCCAGTCAGCTCAGGTTTGGAAACTTTCTGCTACCGAACGGAGTTGGCCCGGCGTCCCCCGCCCTCAGAACCTCCAGCTCCCGCCTCAGCCCTCGACCACTTCGCGCCAGCACTGCTCCCCACAGCGGCCTGAGGCGGAGGGCGGAACGGAGAGGCAGCTGCCTTACCTGGGACGTGCCGCCCGCCCGGCTGCTGCCCGGCGTTCCGGGCCAACTCCAGCCCCAGTAGGGGCGGAGGTGGGAGGGACTCAGCGTGGGGCCTGGCCCAGCCCTGGCTGGGGTGGCGAGGCCCGGGCGGGGTCGCGGAGAGCTGGGCCTACTTCTCCTGGGGACCCTGGCACAGCCAACCGCGCTCGGTCGCTCGCTGTGGAGCCCGCCTCTCCCTGCGCAGGGCTCTCTCCCAACTAGGGTGGGCTGGCGCCTGCATCACCGTGACATCACCTCCATTCAGGGAGCTAATCGGGAGCTCGCTGCGCTCCAGGTACGTCTAATCCGTTTACTCAGTAACAAAGCCCGCCCGGCCCTCCCCGCCCCGACTCACCTCCGGGCTCGGCCGAGTCGCACTTTCCGGCCCCGGAGGGAGTGCGGAGCGCTGAGTTCCAGGAGGGGCTGGCGTGTGGGTTGTTGCTGTTTACTGCCACGCCCCCGCGGCAGGCGCGCGCGCACTCACGCGCACTCACGCGCACTCACTTTCTGGACTCTGCTTTCTCTCTGGCGAGCGGCGCGGGGTGCAGCCCGGTACCCCCGCGGGCGAGCGCTCCCTCCTAGCATCTCCCAGCGCGCGCGCTCGGCCAAGCGCAGGGGTACCTTGGCCCGTCTCTCCTCTCTCGGTGTTGGATACCCAGCTTTTGTCACCTTCGTCCTGGTTCTCCCGTGAGACACATGCCGAGCACAGTTCGCTGCTGCGGGCTGGAGCTAGGCGCACACAAAGTCCGTCTTTGTCACGCCTTCTGCGCCCCCTCCCCTCCCGAGCCCGTACACGTGGACACACCACACGCCGACTGTCCGCCGCTTGCACGCGCGATCTTTTCCCCGGAGCCCCAGTCACCAAGTATACGGGGGATTGTCACGGCTCTCTACCCTAACGTGTAGATCGAGCCCAGAACAACTTCGCACAGAGGACGAAGGTCGCCCTGGTCCGGGCTACTCTGCTCCCGCGCTGCCTGCGACCGCCCCAGACACTGTCCAACAAGGAGAGCGCTCTCTTCTCCTCTCGTCCCGGTTCCCTGTTCCGACTTGTCCTAATTAGCCTTCACGGTTTTGTTCCCCAAGGTACAGTGTCTAACCCGGCCCCCGCGGTCTCTGCGCTCCGGGACACTTTGGCCCTGACTCTGAGTCCCGCCCCTCCCGCGGCCAGGGGACCGTTCCCGGAGTTCTGGTTCTCTCGTGCCCCACCCCCACTCCCCGTCCAGGGGTGGATCCGCCGAGTTGCCACTCTTTCTCCTCCGGCTTCTGGAATCT